ACACTTTATTTCGTCACTTTAATGGTGATTCTTTTTTCACTTTAGAGGCAGTTTTTTCATAGTTCGTTAGTGGTATAATAGTTATTTTGTTGTTTTAGTGATGATTCTTTCGTTGCTTTTAGTGGTGGTTCTTTCATTACTTAAGTGTGACTTTTTTTGTCGCTTAAGTGATAGTTCTTTACCATTTTTGCTCAATTTTTTTATTGTTTAGTGGTTATTTTTTTTCTCAACCTTGCTTCTAATGTTTTTTTTGTTCATTTTTATTCATTCTTATTATGCAAATATTAAATAATATAGCATCAAAAAATAAAATTTTTTGAGGCAATGCCTTATAAAAGTTTTTTTTTATAACTTTGAGAGAAAATATCTCGACAACCACCTAACAAAATCTGATGAATACAATATATATATATGTATATATTTTTATACAAATCTTGTATAATTAAATAAATAAAAATTCAATTTATTACTGTAGTGGGATGTAGTAAAAAACAAAAAAACAAAATTTGAACAAAGGTATATTTGCGTATTTTATCAGCAAACAATTTAGTGATAGGGATGTTGGAACGGATCTCCACCGAATTCTGGAATTAGTACACTAACTGTGGTGAATCGAACTATTATGTTCTGATTGACAAAATCGACGATCCTTGATAACAATATTTTTTCAAATTTGAGCAAAGATATCTCAGTAACTACCTATCAAAAATTCTTGAAAATTTTAATTCTATGAATTCATAGAATTAAAATAAAACTTTTTATAGAATTTAGATCCCGAATTGAATTATTATCATTATAACGATAAAAATACAAAATTAATTTGATTGGATTAATTCAATTCAGGATCTGATACAGATCTAAATGTATTTTAATGTGATTTAAGGAACTGCTTAATGATCAGTCAATAAATTCCTTAATTTTGATTAGAGATGGGCAAAAAGTCAGTTACATATTATTACATATTATTACATATTATTTCTAATTATTTTTTCTAATATTTTGTGTAATGGGTAGTAAAGAGTAATGATATATACAAATTTCAATCTGATTATGAGATTAAAATTTTCTCACCAGATTACATTTGAAAATCGTAATGAGTAATAATTATTCGTCATAATCAATAATTAGTAATAATACGTATGTGTGTAAGTACTGGGTAAAAAAATAAGTATTTATTACTTACTTTATTACCTTACCAATTTCTAATTTTGATAATGTTGCATGAAATTTTACTCCATTAGGGATTATACTTGCCGAATTACTATATTTGCAAAATATTAAGATTACTTTTTAAATTTAATCTTTTATAAATAGTGTCATGGGCTAAAAGTGATATTTCCGAAATCGATCGGTCAATCGGAGGGTAAATCATATGGCTATTCGGGAATGAAGATCCTAAAGACATTTCAAGAAAGATAATTACGCGTACGATCTACAAGGCTTAGAGATCGTCAGTAGAAAGTTCTAGCAGAAATGATGTAAACGAAGGATGAAGAAGGTTTAGAAAGAAATAAGGAAGGGGAAATAACTTGAATGTAGGAGGGAAAAGATGTAAGGGATTTACGGATCAGAAGAGGAGCTGAGGGATATGCAAAGATTAAAAGAAAATCTTTGTAAAAGCCTCTTGTAATCATTTTTTTTGTATAAAATTATTTGTATTTTCCTGTTGTAAACATCATCCTACGGGTTTCTAATTATTAAATTATTATATAATAATGATATTATCCCTGAAAGGTATTGTATTCGCGAGCACATTTGGCAGACTTTTTCATGGTATTTGGCCTGGTCTACAGGAAATAATGATAATTGGAGTAGAAATAGGAGTAATATAGTTAGGCACTTTAGGTATTTTTTAGTACATCGTTGCATGAGTAATATTTTGGAAAAGGCTTATGATACGTATGTTGGTGTTTTTAATACAAAAATGGATGTTTCTTTTTTTCTTGATTATTTGGAGAATATAGCATAGCTAAGATATGAAGATATTAGTCAAGAATATAATGATTATATAAATTCTATGAATAGCGATAGATGATATATTAGATAATCATACAATTTTAGTTCTTTGCTTTTTTGTCAATAAAAGTTCTTTTATATTAAATTTTCTTATGTGTTGTTCATATTGTTGAGGGAATGAGTACGTTAATACTGTAATATGATAACTAATCTATACGTACAGTGCCTTATGATATATTAATAATAAAAAAAATTGAAAAAATAAATTTCTTGCGCTTTTCAAAGTGTCGATATAGTATGAAAATTTTTAACATAGACTTTATCACCACTATTAAATATTAAGTGCGTTATTTTGAAGCGCGCATGCGCCTTAGTTGAGTAAAAAATCTTCCTATCCTCTTTATTCAATGTTATCGTTATCAAAACGTATTCATTAATTTTTATCGAATTAATTTTTATCGAATTTGATCGAATAATTAATTATTGAGAAATAATTACTTCAAGTTTAAAAAAAAGCACTTTTTTTCTTTTACAAGATTAAAACTTTGAACGAAGTTTTCTCGGGGATTACCTGATCAAATTCGATGAATTTTTTATAATCCTAAATGCTTGTAGAATCAAAATAAAAAATTTTTCATCGATTTTGACCACGTGGTTGTCGAGAAATTATTGCGTTGCAACTTTAATTGTTAAACTTTAGATAAATATTTCTCGATAAATATTTCATAAAATTTGGCAATTTTTTTATTTATTTTAATTCTACAGATTTGTAGAATTAAAATAAAAAATTTCATCTAATTTAATGAAGATTATTAATGAATTTGCTGGGTACAATGGAAAAGAACCCGTATTAATTGAAAACGTAAATACACATATCATAATGTAGGTCTTAATGATCTTTAACATTTTATGAAACTTAGGGTAATCAAGATAGTGACGAATTGTCGCAATTTGATGAAAATGCATTTCCTGATGCTTTGTAAGAGTAATGGCAATTATTTTTTATTTATTTTCTTTTTATTTTTTAATATTAATTAATAAAAAAAAAAAAAAACCCAGCAAGAAAATCTTAGTGATGATTATTTACCAGGCTGGTCAGAATAAGAAGAATGTTATGGTGATAAGAAAGAATTTTGTGTCCATTGTGGTTGTTCTAAATGCGAATGGAAAGGTAATAGAGGGCATATCCTTTTATGCGATGGTCTTTGTGGAAAGAATTTTATACTCGATATCTAAATCCTCCATTGGAAAAAATACCTGCTGGAAAATGGTATTGCAATAAATGTTTAAAGAAATGTAAGGTAGTGTCAGATGATTCAAGTGATGACTACGACGGTAAAATTTTAAAGAAATGAAGCAATCAAACCATAGAAAACGTACTACACCACTGGATACCACCTTGTCGAATTCTGAACTTAAGGGTATGTGAGCTGTTTATTATTATAGTATCATCAAAATTAAAAATAGCTTATATTATGTAGAAAAGAATGTAGAAAATGTAGAACCAATTGATGATAATATGAACAAATTTCCAATTCTCGGTGAGCACGTGAGTAATCATAGTCGATAAGTAAATTCTTAACGTTAATATTAATGTTTAAATTTAATATTTTCTTTATTTCTTAAAAAGCAAGTAGAAATCTAATCTAATATTCAGGTAATAATTGTAATTTAATTCAATCTATATTTTTATTATAGGTATTAAAGCGAAAAATAAATTAAAGGAATCATCCTAGCAACTTAATATTAATGTTGTACCTTCACGAGATTCTTTGCAATTAACAAATCAATATAGGCGATTCTTAGTAACAATGCTAAAAGCTTTAAACTGTTTTTACTTGACATTTTGTAATTGTAATTTTTAGTCGATTTTGAAAACTACATGATTCTTTTAATACATTTTTATCGTAAATGAACTTGTTCAAATAAGGAAATAATTAAACCAATTTTGTTTTAATTTATGCAATCCTTGCCGTGGTTATTCGTATTACCTTTTTACAAAGCATTAAAATGAAACCCCGAGATAAGTATGATTAATAATATTTTTCGTGTATATAGTGCTAATCAGTTATGCAATTAATACGCGTATTTTTTTAATTAAATTTTTTCAGCATATGAATATGTGAAAACTATAAATATTATGCAATAAGATTCCAAAAAAAGTTGTAATATAAACAGAAATTAATCTACTAAAACGCTATTGCAAAAGGCTTTGTTCAATGTTTCATTTTTGTGAATGTACTTTTCAAATAAAGGATAATTAATTTAATTCATGCTATCTTCGCCATCTTCGCCGTGATTATTCGTATTACCTATTTTACAAAATAAAATGAACCTCCGAGTTCTGTATGAATATGGGATTTATACAATTGTATGCGATCTGTTTTAAAATATATAAAGGATATGATGTAATTTTTTTAGAATTTTTGTTATATAAAAATATTGAAAATGATTACTCATAAGAAATTAGTTTCTTTAATATTTTTTTTATCACTATATATTGTTTCTATTGTTGAATATGCAAGAAAAATTTTCGTAAAATTGTGTACTTGCCGAAATATTCTTATTGTTATATTATTTTTTGAGTTTACAATATTTTTTATAATCCGGTCGTAAGTATATTTTGACTTCTTTCTCTAGCTGGAACATTGAAGTTTGAACTGATTTTATCGAATTTCTATAGGATCAAAAGTCATATTTGTATACCGATTCTTATGAGCCAATTGTGTATGAAACTTTGATGTCGACTAATCTAATTGGAATATAATAGTACAAATAAAGATTTTTATGCTGAAATTATGGGTGGTAGAGTCATGGGTTCAGACATCCAGATTATGATGGGTTCGTGCCGTATTAAAGTTAAATAATTTCAATTTATTTTGATTTGTATACAGCGAATAGAATTTATGGTAGTGAATTTTGTATTAATATTTTGTAAAATAGGCTTTTAATTTATTGAACAATAAAATATCTAAAACATTGTATAGTATAATTAATATAGTTTACTGATCACACTAATTTCATTTATCATCTTTACTTAATAATTAGTGAAAGAAATTATATAAACTCTGAGTAATTTTTAACCATAATAATAATAAATGGATTGTCTTCTATTTAGAGTCTAATAACGATTAGATATATATTTTATACAGTTCAGGTTTCACTGCATTTTCCGTTACGTTATTTTAAAAAAAGATCTTCATACAACCTTTTTTTTTTAACCTCTTTTATTCACTGCAAATTTTTATAGTAATGGCTGAACCTAGAAAAAAAAAACAAAAAAATTCAACAACAACTTATATCAATCGTATTAAAGTTAATCTAGTTAACCCAACTCATACCTCGATGATTCCTAAATCAGATGATTTAGAAAGTTGGAAAAAGCACAATCAAAACTTACAAGAAAGAATAGAGCAAATAAAGATTGATACAAATTGGTCCGAATTTTATAGTAGATTTTACCAATCATATTATCCGTGTAACTCTATTAAAAACCAAAATTTTATATCAGAACATGAGAAAACCAAAGAAATAAATAGAAAGCTTAGAGAAACAATTCCATCTTCTGAAAATCTTAATTCAGAAACTTCTTGTTGGAGAAAATCATATGACAACATCAATTTAATAATAGAAGGTATATTTAGAAATATTTAATATTAATAAACAACTATTTGTATAATAATATAGTTATTTTGAATTAAAGCTGCAAAGAAAAATTGCATTTCTATTGAAGAAATTATTGATAAGTTAAGTCATTCGAAAATTACGATTAATTATTTTCAGGAAGTTAATAAAGAAGATCTTGATATGTTAATCAATTGTTTGGTAGGAAAAGGTAAGCATTTTAATATAAGAAATTAGTTAATTATACCTTAATAAATACTTCGGCTTACTATTGATTCAATATTTACAATTAGATTCTTAAAATTTTAATAAACTATGCAATTTATGAAATTCAATATAACTTTATCAATTACACATGGTTAATTTTTGATGAGAAATATATATAAAAATAAGAATCTATGCAATTTTAAATAAGATCAATTATGAAAATTTGATCCTCACATATCTAAGAAATTTATGTGTTATTTAATAAATCTGATTAATTAATTCGTAATCCGCCAGAGAACTATAAAAAAGCATAGTAAATAGTGGGGATTTACTATATGTTTTTTACTAT